TTGAAGATGTCCCATGAGCACTTGAGAAGAACGTATATTTTGTTGCTTTGGGGTGAAGTGTTCTGAAGATGTCAATTAAGTCCATCTGATCTAGTGAGTCATTTAGGATTGCTGTTTCTTTGCTGATTTTTTGTCTAGCAGATTTATCCAGTGATGTCAGTGGTGTATTAAAGTCCCCTACTATGATTGTATTGTTGTCGATCTCTCCCCTGATGTCTTCCAGGAGTTTTCTTATGTATGTGGGTGCTCCTGCATTGGGTGCATATATGTTTATCAGGGTTATATCCTCTTGTTGTATTGATCCCTTTAGTATTATGAAGTGGCCTTCCTTATCTCTTGTTATGGCCTTCACTTTGAGGTCTATTTTGTCGGATATAAGTATTGCTACCCCAGCTTTTTTTTCATTTCCATTTGCCTGAAAGATATTTTTCCATCCCTTCACTTTCAGTCTGTGTGAGTCCCTTTTAATGAGGTGGGTCTCTTGTAGACAGCAAATGTATGGGTCATGTTTTTTTATCCATTCAGCCACTCGATGTCTTTTGATTGGACCATTTAGTCCATTTACGTTTAAAGTTATTATTGAAAGGTACTTGTTTGTAGCCATTTCTTTTTTTGTGTGGCTGTTTTCTTTCTGGGCTTTTTATTTCTTCTTTTTACACCAGTCCCTTTAGCATTTCTTGCATTGCTGGCTTGGTGGTGATGAACTCCCTTAGCCTTTTTTTGTCTGTGAAGCTTCTTATTTCCCCTTCAATTTTGAATGATAGCCTTGCTGGATAGAGTATTCTTGGATTCAGTCCTTTGCTTTGCATCACTTTGTAAATTTCTGTCCATTCTTTCCTGGCCTGATGTGTTTCTGTTGAGAAATCGTTTGATAATCTGATGGGGGATCCTTTGTAGGTAACTCTCTGTTTCTCTCTTGCAGCCTTTAAGATTCTCTCTTTGTCTTGTACATTTGCCATCGTTATTATGACGTGTCTTGGTGTGGGTCTTTTGGGGTTCATCTTGCCTGGGACTCTCTGTACTTGTGTAACTTTTTTCTTCCCCATATCTGGGAAGTTTTCTGTCATTATTTCTTCAAATAGATTTTCTAATCCTTGCTGCTCTTCTTGTCCCTCTTGCAGCCCTATTATGCGTATGTTACTTCGTTTCATGTTGTCCCGAAGCTCCCTTAGGCTCTCCTCCTGTTTTTTAATTTTTTTCTCCAGTTGCTGTTCAGATTGAGCTTGTTTCTCTGCCTTATCTTCTAACTCACTAATTCGGTCCTCTGCTTCTTTCAGCCTGCTGTTGAAACTTTCCATGGTGTTTTTGATTGTAGCTATATCACTTTTCATTTCTTCCTGATTCTTGCATAGGTTGTTGATTTTCTCATCCATCCGGTGAATGAATTGTACAACCATTATTCTGAATTCTTTTTCTGTCATGTTGCACGCTTCAACTTCATTAATTTCCTTTCTTGGTGATTCCTCATTGTCTTTCCTCTGGGTGTTGTGTCGTTTCTTCATTCTGCTTATCTCCCGATGGATCAAAGGTCGGGTTGCGTGGGCCTGGGCCGTGTGCAGTGGGAGCCTCCCACCACCTTAGTGTCACTGAAGAGCTCTGACACTAAGATGTGTGGTTGTTGTTGGTTGGTGGGAACCAGGCTCGCTCTGAGTCAGTGTTGCCAGCGCTCAATGTGGCCTCGTATGTGCCCTTAGAATTAGGGACCCTGCATGCACCGTGCTGAAATAGAGACCCCCCTGGAGCGTGTTGAAAACCAGAGCCCCCTAGCATGCGCCAGGAGTCAGAGTTCCCCAAGAGTCCAGTATCAGAGTCTCTGTTGCTTTGCGCGACTTCGCCTTGAGAATCAGGGTCCCTGTGTGCCCTTGCACCAGGAATTGGATTCACTGGCTCTTAGTATGAATGCACAGGGAATCAGGATCTCAGGCGCAGGTGATAAGAAACACAGTCAAGTCACTGGTGCTTGGTGCTGCCTCCTGCCCCGAGAAAAGGGATCCTTGGGCCTGTGCTAGGCAGACAAATTCCCGTTCGCGCGATTGCTCCCAGCCCAGGGCTCCAAAGCCGGCTTCACGTACAGCTGCTGTTCCTCAGACAGAGGGTGTGGTGATCAGGAGGCTGCTGTTGCTTGGATCTGCTTAGTCCTGCCAGGTATTTAGGAGAGTGTTGAATTTCCCTGTGATACACTGTTCCTCCGTGTTGTAAATCACAGTCCTGATTTTAAAGCAGGCCGTATTTGTGATCCAGACTGCCTTAGTTTGTGTTCACCTAAGAGTCAGTTTGTGGCTCAGCCTCTGGGTGGCAGTGTTTTGGGGTTGGCCTCTGAGGCTATACGGCTTCTCTACTTAAAACTGGTTTGGGGTTGGTTGATTCTTATATATGCCCTGACCTGGGATGGAACCAACAACTTTGGCTTATGGGGACAATGCTCTAACCAACTGAACTACACAGCCAGGGTGGTTCTAGCAGTTTTTAAAAATTTAGGTGAAATTTACATAACGTGCAATTAACCATTTTAAGGGTACAACTCAGGGGCATTTAGTATATTCCCAATGTTGTTCAACAACTACCTAGCAATACCTTTTTTTAAAATTTTTTTGTTCTTTTTTCTTTATTTGTACCTAGCAACATCAACAGTGCTGTCTTTACATATACTTTAACATTTTTTCATAATTTTTTAACAAGTTAAAAAACAGCAAAATAGCTCAAATTACAATGTTATATTTTTCATTCTGATTAGCTCCCCACACACCCATACACATATATACAATGCATATGTGTGTGTGCACAGAAAGGGAATACTTGAATATTCAGCTATGCTAAAATTCCATTTCCTAAGAGATCCTCATACTTCATTCATTGTTAGTTATCCTGGATCCTAAAACAGGCTGCCAACCTATGGGACTGTGACAGCTAATGAACAATACGATGGCTATAAACTTGTGCATTCAAAGTAACTCCCTGAGCTTATTTGCTGCCAGTCACCAAAATACTGCAGATTTCACTTAATTCATTCTGGAAAGGTTGTCAGTCTGCTCTTTGACTCAGCACTGTATGTGATCATCATCATCACTGTTGTTGGCGTCATCATCATTTTCATTTAGTAAAACCAAGTGGGCAACCAAAGAATAGGTAAATTCAGTTCCCACTAAATTGTTTCTTCTCGTTGTGCCCTCTGTTTTCACTATTTTGGGAATAGTTGAGGCCATCCTGTTTCACCTTGTGTTGCAGTCCTGCCTCTGGTGTGCCTGTCTTGAGAAGAATCCGCTTTGGGCTGTTTGTCCTCAGTAACTGACTCTAAGGCACTCAGTTTTGAGCACATCTCTAGTTACTAGATCTAGACTGATTTCTACTAAGATGTCTTGGTTTTCATATTTTCTTTCCACATGTTAGGAAAATTCAACCTTCCATTGTGAGTGCTTTGTTTGAGCCCTGTCCAAATGAAGCAATAGGAGAGAGCTGAGTTATTTAGGTTGGGTTGCTCCTGAAGGCCAGATCCTCTCCCATCACTGCTGCAGTCAGGGATATTTCTCTGGTGTTTTTTTTATTTGTTTGTTTTGTCAAATTCTTGCCTCACCAGGAATTGGTGAACCTCTTCCTGGGGTATGTAATAGTGGTGTATGGTGTGGTCGGGGTGGGGAACAGCTGAAACTCTCCTCGTCAGCCTGAAGGGTAGAGCAGAGGGGGAGCTGCCATCACTTTCCATGAGGTGGTTTCTCCCTGTAAATTCTTCTAAATCTCTAGTGTGTAGAGGAGCCAGTAGCCTGGCTGCAGTTGCTGGAGGGGAAGGCTATGGAGGAGAGGCAGGCTCCCAGCCTGTCTTTTGGTCAGTTCAGTGTCACCTACCAGCCAGATGTGTTTCCATGGAAAGAATTCACTCTACCATTATTAAGTAGTTTAGCTTCACATGTTTTCTTGAAACAGAAATTTGTAGAACTACAGCTCCGTGATCCATTTTAATTAGGTTTTAGTTCTCAGACTCCAATCATAGCAGAAGAGACAGCTAGACATCTTTTATTTACTATACATAACCATGAATTGGTGTTCTTTTGCTGTAATAACCCATTTTCACCTATACGTGGGTTAACTAGTTTATTACAGGCTGATTGCCAACAGTGCTTTTTAGTTAGGCGTGCAGTTTTGGAAATGGTTACAGTGTTTAGTTTTGTCACGTAAAAACCCATTTTACATATAACTACTTACAAAACAGATTTCTTTTTACAGATACCTGCTACTATAATCATGGTAGTTTTCTATTTCTAGAAAGGTTTATTTTAAACAAAATAAAGGTGAGTCAACTTAAAGAAAGGAGTACATAATAACACAAGTGGTTTGGAGATGCACCCGAACTAGAGACAGTGGGACCCGAACCACCCAAGTTTGGAAAACGGGTCTCGCGGGAGTAGAGCAGTGGGTGCGAGGGGACTACGGAAGCCCGGAAGGCCACGGAGAAGGCGTAAACCCCGACCGCGTGGGAAAGACGGCCCCGCCTCCCCGTCA